AAAAGGGAAAGGAAAAAATATGAGAAGAGGAAAAAAAATGGAAACAAAGGCTTTGCAAATAGGGAAGGGTGGAGGGGGTTAAGGGAGGGCAAGGGAAGGGGAAAAAAAAAATAAGAACCAAGATACTCATGTAATGGTACAAGATCCCAATGATGAATATAACTGTATTGTATACCGAAAATGTACCAATAAAGTTAATGGGGGAAAAAAAATTAGAAATCTCAAAATGAAAGACCAGTCAAAAAATGGGTAAGGAGCATTGAATAAACATTTGTCAGAAGAAGTCCAAATGGCTAATAAATACATGAAGAAATGTTTGACACCACTGGATTTATCCATTTCTATCTCTTCTGTGTGTCTCTTAATATGGACATTTCCCATTGGATTTAGGGCCCATCCCAGTAATCTAGACAGACCTCATCTTGAAATCCTTAACTAAATTACATCTACAAAGAGTGCTTTACAAATGAAGTCACATTCACAGATTTTGGTGAGGACAGCTAGGATGTAGATCTTTTGGGAGGCACTATTGAACCTATGACAAAAGCCAAGAAAGGAAAAAGCTTTATCAGTGTCAAATGCTTCAGTGTGGTCAAGTGAGATAATGACCAGAAACATCCATCAGACTTAGCAATTGCAAAGTTATTGGTGATTTTATCAGAAGCAGATTCATTGGCATAGCCAAAAGGACTGAAGAATTGATCTTTTGAGAACTTTAAGTGATAGGAAAAGAAAAAAAGGGGACTGTAGATAGAAGGGACCTGGACTTTTTTTCCCTTTCAAGATGAAGGATCTTGAAGCATAATTGTAAATATGGGGTGGGGACAGAAAGGTGTCAACCAGTATAAAGGTTAGAGATACAAAAATAGCGATCTTCAGGCTGAATATGAAATAGCTTTTCCTCATTTATTGCTTCTAGTACTTGGTTAGTCATTTGTGGAGTTAGAAATTAAGGACAGGTTGAGGTTTGGGGGAGGCTTGGGGAGAAGTATATAAGAATTAAGTAAAACTTCTGTGGCCTTCAGATCATGTACCTATATATTCAAAATGTTAGTGATAAGGATAAGTAAGCTGTATCTTGTAAATTGGTATTTACCGTATATCATGTAATTTAGTTCTTTGTAACAACCAGCAGTCTTAGAAGGTGGGTAATAATTTCAGTTCCATATCATAGCTGAGGAAACTGAGAACAGAGAGATTATGTGACTTGTCCAAGATCACATCAATAGAAAGTGATGGAACTGGTATAAAATGTGGGGTTGTAGCTCCAGAATCTATACACTTAACAGCTGTGCTGACTGTACCAATTACTGCAATTCTTTGCCCCTTAAATCTATTGAACATGATGGGTTAAAGATTGATACTTGATAGTAACTGTGTGAGGTGATGGTAATTTTTCTTATAGGGTCAACTCTCAAATAGCCACTCACAGTTACAGTCCTCTTGACAATCTCAGCAGTGTTAAATTCTTGGAGGAAGAGAATGTCAGAGAAGTTTGGTGGATGACAGAATAAAGTGGGTAATAATGTAGGCCTTTGAATTACACAGTCCTGAAGATGAAGCCCAGCTCTACAACTTACTAGATGTGAGACTAACATTTGGTCCTTATTTTTCTCATCTGTAAAAATTATGGTACTAATAACTATTTCTCAGGGTTTTGGCAAGGATTAGGTAATAAATGTAAAGTTTATATGATAGTTCCTGGTGTATGTTAAGTACTTAGTTTTGTTCACAATAATGGTGATTTGAATTGGGCACAGTGGCACATGCTTACAGTCCCACCTTCATAGATGGCTGAGGTGGGAGGATCACTTGAACCCATTAGTTTAAGGCCATCCTGGTCAACATAGCAAGACCCTGTTTCTTTAAAAAAGTTAAATGAATAAAGTATAACATTTCACAGCCACAGTAATCAAATAGCTTTTTAGAAAGTGAAGCTGAAATTATACCTCAATAACCCTCTTGGAGCTGCTTCCTCTTCCCCCTTGCCCTCACTCCCACCCCACCTGATGTTGGCCTCCTTGGATTCCTCAACCTTCAGTTTGAGTGTTCATGTGAATGTCCACTTTCTAGACCTGATACTGGACCAGCAGGAACTGTTCAGTGATCTGAATGACAGCATGAGGGTTAAAGTGCGGGAAGCCCTTCTCAAAAAGCATCATCATCAAAATGAAAAGAAGAGAAACAACCTCATCCCCATTGTTCGCTCCTTTGCTGAGGTTGGCAAGAAACAGTCTGATCCACATTCGATGGATAAGAATGGTAAAATTATTATAAGTGATTATTGTTTCTCTTTACTAATACTAGTTGGAGATGCTGAGGTACTAGAGGGTAGGGGCTATATTTATAATGTTTCCATGCCCACTTAAACATTTTGCACTGCTTGGTGATTAGTAAGGTGAGTGGCTGGCACTGCCTGTGTCTCTCTCTCGTGGCTCTTAGGATGCCTGCTTTTTGGTGGAGCTCAGTATCCCAAGGTAAAGAGCTTGTGCCCCAGGGTGCTCTCAGAACTGAATGATTTTTGGGAAATATCCATATTGGGGATAATTTGGGGCCAGAGAAGTTGAGCCTTTTAGGAGTAAACAAATGACTTACTGATTAGGGAGGCAAAATACAGTAGGGTAGACCACGATCCTCCACCCCACCTGGTTGAGGATTGCACCCAGGGCCTCGTACATGCTAGGCAAGCACTCTACCACTGAGCTACCACTACTCTAGTAGTGTAGAGTTAAGTCAGACTTCTAGGCTTGTGTTTCTGGCTTTTCCATCCCCAAAATGTATATCCTTGGACAACCTACTGAAGTTCTTTAAATCTTGTTTTCTCACTTGTAAAATCAAGACAATAATAAGACCTACTGCTTCAGTTTATTATGAGATTTCAATGAGTAAATTTAGGCAAACCCTTTAGCCAGGAATATGGTTGTTAACACCAGTGAATTTCAGCTGCTGATTGGTTCCCTTTCTTGTAGCCAGGGAGGGCTTCATCTTTTCTATATTCGTCTTATGGTCTCCTTGTTTATTGAATTACAGTGTGCAGGGATAGAATCTGTATTTTTTGAAAAGTTCTCAATAGAGATCTCATATGCACTTTTGGTTAAAGGATTTTATGACCTAAATAGAGTAATAGAAAGGGTCACAAATGTGTACAGAAAGGTGCAGAAGTAGTAAGATGTCTGTTTTCCTCTACCCCTAACTCACAGGTAAGGAGATAGATATGAATGGCTCCTGGCTTCATAGCCATCTTGCTTTCCTCTTTATGTGGCCTGCGCAGAAGTGATAGCTAACTGATGATGGATGGGGTGTGTCAGGAAAGGACAGGGGCAGGCACTGAGGGGATTATGTTTGATTTTCTCCAAATAGGTCAGACTGTATCACCTCAGTCTCTTCCAACTACAAATCTTGAAGTGAAAAATGGAGTGAATTGTGAACACAGTCCTGTGGATTTAAGCAAGGTGAGCAGAGACATGGGAAGTTGGCTTTTAGATCTAAGGCTATCTCTAGTGGAACCTTGCATATAATTGCTATAATCTGGGTAAGGTTTGGTATTTCAAGACCCTTTCTTCAACCAGAGTTTTTTTTATTATTAGTTCATGTTTGCAGTACATATTGAACACATTCATCATGGGGTATTTGTACTTGTACATAACATATCTTGATTCTTTTTTTTAATCCCTTTCCACTCTCCTCCCTCCATCTCTTCTCCCCTTCCCATTTATAAAGCTCTATTTCTATTTTTCAACTCTTCTTTTTTCATTTAACCCCTTTCCCCTTCTTTTCCTCTTCCCTCCCCCTATCTCTTACTCCCTTTCCCATTTGAACAAGTTCTTCATACTTCCTATTATCTATCCTCTATTTTGCTCATTATTTGTATTTTGGGTATCTTATGTAAGAGAAACAATGTGTTATTAAATTTATGTGTTTATTATTAGGATTATGGTCTCAAGGTGCATCCATTTACCTAAAAATGTCTCGGGTTTGTCTTTATTTATGGCAGAGTAGTATTCCATTGTATATAAATAACACATTTTCTTTATCTATTAATCTTTTGATGAGCATATGGGCTCTTTCCAAGATTTAGCTTCTATAAATTGTGTTGCTATAAACATAGGTATGCAAGTATCACTTTTGTATGTCTTTAACTTTTTTGGGAAGATATCCAGAAGGGGAATAGCTCTAGTTTTAGTTTTTTTGAAGAGTCACTATATTGATTTCCATAGTGGTTGCACCAATACACACTCCTACCAACAATGGAGAAGGGTTTCTTTTTCCCTGCAGCCTCGCCAGCATTTGTTATTGGCTAACTTCTTGATGATGGCCATTCTTTCTAGGGTGAGATAGAATCTCAATGTTGTTTTAATTTGCATTTCTTGAATGCCCAGTGATGTTGAGTATTTTTTCATGTATTGGCTGTTTGTCCTTCTTCCTCTGAGAAGTACCTATTCATTTCAGATGCCCATTTTTGGACTGGGTCTTTAAATTTGGGAGGTCTGATTTTTTTCGTTCTTTATATATTCTAGATATGAGTATTCAAGACTAGAGATTTTTATCTGGAAAAGCAGGCTCACTTGTCATATCTTCCCCCTTCCACCTCAGCTTAGTGAGGCTGTCTTTGTCAGTTTGTTCCTCCAGATTCAAAAAGCTAAAAAATGAGACTACCTACTGAGAGACTTCCCTAACCCAGACCTCCAGATTTTTCAGTTATTTTTTGGTATCTGCTCTTCTGAAGCTCCTTCTCATTTTCAAGAGTTTTGCTAAAGCAGGATTTTTGTTCCTGTCATCTAAAGCCATCTTATGGTTGAAATTCTTCTTGTGGATTGTGACTGTGGTATCCAAGGCCTTCTGCATTAGCACCACCTTGTTACTGTTCCTGGTCTAAGCCTTGGTCTCCCTGCTTCCAGCCTCTCCTTGCTCTTCTCTATCCTTGACACGCTTTTTCTAAAACATGAGAATGTCATGCTGCTTTCTCTGCTCATAGGCTCCCTGTTTTATTCAGGAAACCTGAGGCCCCTGATAAAGCATTCAGGTATTTTTAAATTTATTATTATTATTATTATTATTATTATTAAGCACCGGCTTAATACTGCAGAAATTTTTGAATTACCCTTGTATAATTCACCCCTCCCCCATACCCGAACTGTTGACCAAGAGCTTCCCCGGTAGACAGGCTCCGACTTGCTCTGTGTAAAACTTTATGAAAGCAAGGCCGAGGACTGTGCACATCCTGCTGTAAAACGCCGCCCGGACTCTGGAGACAGTGGCGGCCAGGCGCTCTTCACTGCCCTGGTCCTGACAGGCTCTTGTTCATGAACTGTCTCTTCACAAAGCAGGTCCACCACTTGCTGGGTTTATCATTCTGAGGGTCAAAAACTTTTTCACAAAGTCTCAGTCCAGTCTCTAAGCATTCAGATATTTAAAGTCAAATAATGTGACCCAGAGCTTCAAAGACATTTTTTTTTTTTGTACCGGGGATCGAACTCGGGACCTGGCACTTGTGAGGCAGGTGCTGAAACCCCTGAGCTAAATCCCCAGCCCCAAAGACATTTTTCTTTAAGAAGTATGGTAGAGGGTCAGGGATTTAGCTCAGTAGTTTTGCTGCCTGCTGTGCAAGCACAAGGACCCGAGTTTGATCCCCAGTACCAAAAAAAAAAAAAAAAAAAGAAGAAGTATGGTAGGGTAAGTTCAAATTAGAATATCTGGATTTAAATTCTGATTCTTTATCTTAAAAGCTCTGTAGTCCTGAGGAACTCAGTCTTACTTCTCTGGGTCTCAGTTTCTCCTCCTCCTCCTCCTCCTCCTCCTCCTTCCTCTTCCTTCCCTCTTCTTCCTTCCTCTTCCTCTTCCCCTTCCTCTTCCTCTTCCTCTTCCCCTTCCCTTCCTCCTCCTCTTCCTTCTCCTTGTCCTCCTTCTTCTTCAATAGTGGGACTAATGTGACCTGTGTTATCTATCCATCATACAGAGATTGGTATGGATCAATAAAACCGTGTAAGCAAAAACATTTCTTAACCCTAAATGACGTGTGAAGTTAACGTATGAGGAGAGTAATTAATGTTTAAGATGATAGCTCCAAAATCAGAGGCTCGTTTGCACTTTCAGGTTGACCTTCATTTTATGAAAAAAATTCCCACTGGGGCAGAGGCCTCTAATGTCTTGGTTGGAGAGGTGGACACTTTGGACCGGCCTATTGTTGCCTTTGTGAGACTATCTCCAGCTGTTCTTCTCTCAGGCTTGACAGAAGTGCCGATCCCAACAAGGTAAAGGCAAAGATAAAACTCAGTGGATTTTATATGAATAACACCTTTTCTTTTCTTTATTTTTCTCTTTATATGTAAAGGAGTACTACTGTGCCATAAAGAAGATGAATTTGATTCATTTGTAGAAAAATGGATGCACTCTGAGGCCAGAAGTTTAAGTGAAATAATCAGATATAAAAGCCTAAATATTTCATAGGGTAAATAAATTAAAGATCAATATAAAAGATAGATAATAGGAAACAAGGAGATAGAACTTTTCCAAAAGGGAAGGGGACCAGGAGATGGAGGGGAAAGGGAGGGGAGGGGAGGAGCAGAGACAGGAATAAAAAATAGTTAAGATGTGTATGTACATGTACCATCTCCCCAAAATGAACGTAATCATTATGTACTGCAAAGATGTTCCAATCAAAAAACAAATAAAAATAAAATTTTAAAACCTCAATGAATTCTATCCAAAGGGTAAATTTATGTGAGCACTGGTAGGATAAAGCAGTTAATGTCAAAAGTTAGGATTAATTAATTTTGAAAATGGTGCTTAAAGGTTAGCAGGGGGCTTAGAAAACTAGCATTTATTTGATTAACTACCAGGTAAAGGAATTGTGAATTTTAAGGCTGTGAGTGCAGAGTACTTACAGTCTTGGAAGTGAGAGCTGAGGCGATCCAAAAGGCCTAGTGAGGGCCAGTCGCTTGTTCTGATAGGAAGCCTCACTCTCACTTTCTAAGTTCTACAGAGACATAGCCCAGGGAAATGTTTCCAAGTGAAGGTATTTGTGTCTCTTAACATTTCCGGCAGGGTTCGTATGGTTTGCACGTATGCCCGCATTTGTTCAAAAGGCTATTCATGCACTCTGAAGGTGGAGAGGACAGTGATTCACAGCCCCACTAATTATAGAGTATTCAGATGTCCAGAACACAGTTTAGAGTCTTCTACAGGGCTTGATCATGTCAGCTTCCATATGCCTGTCCTCTCCCTGTGACTTTCTTATTAGAACAGTGAATGGGAGTCACGTAACCTTGAACTTACAGTGCTGTGTTTGGAAAAGATGTCCTTTTCAAAGCTGGGAATTGTGTCTATGGTAATCTTAAAAAATTTAGCCACATTGTTGAATGATGTCATACAGATAGCTTTTAATACTCATGTTGGAGCTACTAGGTCAAGGCATCTTAAAGTGCTCTGTATTAGTATGTCTCCTTGTTCTTATTTAATTTTTTGAAGGTATAGGGATGATTTGTCTTTGATAGGAAAAACAAATGTTTTGTTGTTTAGAAAGGAGTAAGATGTTACTTCCTCACTTTTACTTGTATAACTTCTTCTGTGTGTTTTGCCAGATTTCTGTTTATCTTATTGGGTCCAGTAGGGAAAGGTCAGCAGTACCATGAAATTGGCAGGTCCATGGCCACCATCATGACAGATGAGGTACATGCCACTTGTTTTTTACTCATGTCATAAATATTTATGGAGTGGTTTTTTCTGTGTCAGGTACTGTGCTAATTGCTGGGGATAAAATGATTATAGTTACAGTGTCTACTGAGAAGCAGTTTAGGGCCCTTCTCTTCTCTGAGAGCCTATTGTGGGAGGACCAAGCCTACTGGGGAATTTTTTTCTTATGTTATCTCTACCTCTTTGAGTAATCACAAATGGAGAGAAATCCTTTTTGGGAAATGGATTATTCCACATAGAATGTGTGGAGAAATAAAACTGACTTAATTTCCTAGACTATGGTTAATTAAATACAATCCAATATATTTGCACAAAAAACCTTACTTCCATTCCACATAAGTGAGACCAGTTTGTATAAGGTCCGGAATGTGACCCCAGGCAGTATATGTGAATGTTCTGTCTTGCCTGTACCAAGCCACCAGACATTTTGACACTGTGCCAATCCCTTGTACATACCCTTGTGAGGACTGTGTTGCATGTAATCTCCAAAGCAGGGGTTTCAAAGTTTATATATCTAGGTGGGCAGAGGGAAACGTGGGCTGTGTTTTATCAGCTTTTTTCATTGGGAAGCTTATTTCATGCAGGACATTCATTAGTAATTCCATCCAGTTTTCCCAAACATAATGATCGAGAAAATTTTCTATACAACCTACTTTTTGTTCTATTCTTTGTAGAGCTAGTAGAATTATACAACTTTCGAGTCATGTCATCTCTTCTTATACTAGCAGACATATATTTAGTTCTTTTTTACCCATCTTATCTCTTGGTTCAGTTTTTTTATCCTTTTATCCTTATATTTCTCTAAGTTTTTTGCTTCTCATATTCTCATGACAGAAATAAAAATCAAGAGGTTGTATCCATCTATCACTGTGTCTACTAGTGATTATTTTAAGAAAAATAACCTTCAACTTTCCTAAGGATTTTTTCTTCTCTCTAGATTTTTCATGATGTAGCATATAAAGCAAAAGAGCGAGATGATCTCCTGGCAGGGATTGATGAGTTCCTAGACCAGGTGACAGTGCTCCCTCCAGGGGAGTGGGACCCCTCCATTAGAATTGAGCCACCCAAAAACGTCCCTTCCCAGGTAATATATGCACATTAACCAATGGTAGCCAATGTCACTAAGGTGCTATGGTAAACAAAACAAAGATCATGTGGGAATAAATAAATTAAAACATGACCATGTTTGGGAGCTCCTAGAATTGTCAGAATAGTAATTCAAATTGAATATGCTATAACATGGACTGGCACTAATATGAGGTATCAGGGTTACCTGGAGATGAATTTTAAGCCAGATTTTGAAGGATTGATATAAAATGGTCAAAAGAGAGGGAGAATATTTCTTTGGAGTATATCATGTACAAAATCATCAATGAAAAAATCAAATTGTATGAAGATAGCAAAAAGAGTTCCTCATACTTTTCTGAAATATTAAACATGGAAAGAGAACTCCTACTGTGTACTAGGTGCCTGGGCAGGTGCTTTGTATGTGTGAATTCAATATTGCCAGCAACATTTCCCTAAAAGATATTCTAGTCCTTAGAAGAATAAAATGGTCTTCCATGGCAAGGTTTTAAGGTAAAGTAAAATTACACAGAAGCAGATTTGGAACTAAAACTTAGTTCATTTTCTGATGTCTAAGCTCCCATTTTTCTGTTTTTCCTATAGTTAGGAGTCAGGTTCTATTGGAGAGGAAGAGAAATTTTATACATGTAAACACACACACAATATGTTTGTTTGTTTGTTTTTGGTACCGGGGATCGTACTTGGGACCTTGCACTTGCACGGCAGGTGCCAGAACCACTCAGCTAAATCCCTGGCCCTACACACACACACACACACACACACACACACACACATATATCATACATGTTTCAAGAAAGTCAAATTGTATTACATCAGTAAATGCATTTGAAAGCATCAAACACTTGAGCAGTTTGATTGCTTTGGGTTATCCTATCACTACTCCCCCTTGTTAGCAGGAAGGGCAGATAGATGCTGACTTTACTAATTTTGTGGTCTTTTGTTAAAAGGAGAAGAGGAAAATGCCTGGGGTTCCAAATGGAAATGTTTGCCACATAGAACCAGAACCACATGGGGGTCATAGTGGGCCAGAACTTCAACGTACTGGGCGGTAAGTCCTGGGACATTTCACAGCTAATGCTGCATATCGGGCAGAAGTTGTATAAAGGAATGAGGCATCTTCTTTGTTTTTTACCTTTTTCCCTCAATTGGGACTTTATTGTCTGGGAATAACTTATTAAATGGAACCACTGACTGTGTTTTATGAATACATCAAATACTGTATTCATTCATTCGAGTTCCCCGGACCATGTATCATTTTCTGTCACCTCCAGCCCTTCCCACACATTGTTCCCTCTGATTTAAACATTCTCTCACTTCTCTCCCCCCTGAACAACTTCACTTATCCTTTGTCCCAGCTTAGGTGTCACTTCCTTTGGAAACCCTTCTAGTAGTCTCTATACTTGAAATTAGGTGTTCCTGCTAAGTAATGTCACAGCATTGATTTCTTTTTCTTTTAATTTTACTTGTACATGTTTGCAGTTCATGTAGTTTTAGAGAGTGGTTACATGTATATATCACAGCATCTCTCTCTCTCTCTCTCTCTCTCTCTCTCTTTCACCTCCTTCACCTCCCCTCCTTGCCCTCCCTCCTCCTCCAGTTCCCCATCTCATTTTTCATTCTTGTTGAATTTCATTTGTGTTGAATAACAGTATTATTAATCTTAGCTCATGTTTTGGCATATAATCCTTACATTGATTGGGGTTATTAGGTTCCTGTACATGACATATTTATTCTATTTATTTCCCTCTTCCCTCCTTCTCACCCCTCACCCTTGTTCCCTTGGACTACTTTCCTATTGCAAGAGATCTATCCTCTTGTCTCCTTCTATCCATCCTTTAATGTTCTCTTTGCTTGTACTTTGCCTTGCTCAAATGAGAGATACCATGTGGTATTTAAGCTTGTGTGTTTGGTTTATTTCACTCAACAGTATATTTGCCAGGTGCATCCATTTTCCTACAAATGTGTTAAATTCATCATTCTTTATAGCCGCGTAGTATTCTATTATGTATAGATACCAAATTTTCTTTACCCACTTACCTATTGAGTGGTATACAGGCTGCTTCCAGGATTTATCTATGATGGATTATGCTGCTATAAACATTGGTATGCATGTATCACTGTAGTATGATGACCTAAGCTCTTTGGGGAAGATACCTAGCAGGGGAATAGCTGGGTCATATGGAATTTCTAATTTCAGTTCTTTGAGAAATTGCCATACGGATTTCCATAATGCCTGTAGTTTAGTTTCCCACCAACAGTGAAGGAGGGTTCCTTTTTCACTATGGCCATGACAGCATTTGTTATTATTTGATTTCTTAATGATTGCCATTCTTTCTGGAGTAGGTTAGAATCTTAGCATTGTTTTTTGGTTTTGGTACCAGGAATTAAACTTGAGACCCTGTGCTTGCGAGGCAGGAGGTGGCACCACTGAGCTAAATCCCCAGCCCTTAGCATTGTTTTAATTTGTATTTTTCTAATGGCCAGCGACATTTAATATTTTTTCATATATTTCTTTGAGTGCAGGAAGTGTTTCTTTTGAATTAATTTGTTCTGAATTTGCAGAAGCTTTTGACTAACAGAGGTCATTTCATGGTCAGCTGGTCTTTCTTCTTTTTTTTTTGGTACTAGGGATCGAACTGGGGACCTTGAGCTTGTGAGGCAGGCGCCGGAACCACTGAGCTAAATCCCTGGCTCTTTTTTTCATATATTTGTTAACCATTTGTATTTCTTTCTTTATGAAGTGTCTGTTCATTTCTTTTCCCCATTTCTTGACTGTGTCTTTAATTTTAGGTGGTTTAATTTTTTTGAATCCTTTGTATATTCTAGATTTTAGTCTGCTGTCTGAGGAGTAGCTACCAAAATTTTTTTCCCATTCTGTAGGCTGGCTGTTTATTGATGATTCTTTTGCTGTACAGAAGCTTTTTAGCCTGATATAATCCCAGTTGTTTATTTTTGCTGCTATTTCTTGAGTGATTGAGGTTGTGTTTAGAAAATCCTTTCCTACACCTATGTCTTCAGATGTTTTACCTATTTTATCTTCCAGTAGGTTTAATGTTTCTGTTTTAGTGTTTAGACCTTTGATCCATTTTAATTTTAGTTTAGTATATGGTGAGAGATAAGGGTTCAGTTTCAAACTTCTGCAAACAGATAACCAGCACCCTTTGTTGAATAGGCTGTCTTCCCTCCAACATATGCCTTTGGTCCCATTGTCAAAGATCAAATAGTTAAATGTGTTTGGACAAGTTTCTGTATCCTCGATTCTGTTCCATTGATCCATGTGTCTGCTTTTGTTTTGTTTTGTTTTTTTTGGTACCGGGAGCGTGGCGGGGTGGGGATGGGGGGATCCAACGCAGGATCTTGCACTTGGGAGGCAGGCGGAGGAACAACTGAGCTAAATCCTCGGCCCCATGTATCTGTTTTTGTTACAGTACCATGCTGGGGTTTTTTTTGTTTGTTTGTTTTGTTTTTTGAGACAGGGTCTCACTGTGCAGTTCAGGCTAGCCTTGAACTCACCATGTAGCCCAGACTAGCCTTAAACTCATGGCAGTCTTCCTGCCATGGCCCAAGGGCTAGGATTACAGGTGTACACCACCACACCTGGCACCATGCTGTTTTAATCACTATTGCTTTGTGTAATAGCTTGAAGTCAGGTATTGCTATGCCTCCTGCTTTGCTCTTCTTGCCCAAAATTGCTTTTGCTATTCTGGGTCTCTTCTGGTTCCATATAAATTTTAGCATTGTTTTCTCTAGTTTTGTAAAGTATTCCATTGGTATTTTGATTGTGACTGCATTGAATCTGTATGACAGATTTGGGAGTATGGCCATTTTGACAATATTGGTTCTGCCTATCCAGGATCAGGGGACACCTTTCCATTATCTGATGTCCTCTTCAACCTCTTTCTTCAGAGTATGGTAGTTTTCTTTGTAGGGGTCTTTCACGTCCTTACTTAGGTTAATTCCTAGATGTTTCACTTTTCTTGAAGTTGCTGTGAATGATACTGTTTTCATAATTTCCTTCTCATTGAGTTCATTATTGGTGTGCACAAATGCTAATGATTTTTGTGTATCATGCAACATTGCTGAAGTTGGTTATTAATTCAAAGAGTTTTTTGGTGGAGTCTTTTGGGTCTTCTATGTAGAGTATCATGTCATCTGCAAATAATGATAATTTGAGTTTTTCCATTCCTATATGTATCCCTTTTATTTCTTTCTCTTGCCTCATTGCTCTGGTTAATGTTTCAAGTACTGTGTTGTGTTGTTCCTGATTTTAGGGGGAATGCCTTTAGTTTTTCCCCACTTAGTATGATGTTGACTATTGGTTTGTCATAAATAGCCCTTGGGCCAGGGATTTAGCTCAGTGGTTCCACCACCTGCCTCGCAAGCCCAAGGTCCCAGCCCAAGGTCCCGAGTTCAATCCCGGTACCAAAATAAATAAATAAATAAATAGCCCTTATTACAGTGGACCTTCAAGTTATGACTGGCCTGACATACGAACAACTTGGGTTAATTAGATTAATGGAAGATTCATCTGCCTCTTGTTATCTATAGTGTGTACCCAGGTAAACATCCAGATCTAAGCTGTATTGACTTACAACTAATTTGAGTTACAACCAGCTCTAAGGAAGCAATTGAGTTCGTTTAAGTAAAGGGTCCACTGTGTATTCAGGTATGGTCCTTCTATACCTATTTTCTTCTGAGTTTTTATCATGAAAGGGTGTTGGTTTTGTCAAAAGCTTTTTCTGTATGTGTTGATATGATCGCATGGTTTTTGCCTTGGTCCTTTTTATTTGATGTATTACATTTACTGACTTACTTATGTCGAACCATCTTTGCATCTCTGAGATGAGACCTCCTTGGTCATTATGTATGATCTTTTTGATAATGTGCTGTATTCTATTTGCTAATATCTTTTTGTTATTGTTGTTGTTTTTGTTTTATGAGACAAGGTCTCACTATGTATTCAGGCTTGCCTCGAGCTCATGCGATCTTCCTGTCTCAGTCTCCTGAGTAGTAGGATTACAAATGTATGCGATCACACCAGCTCTATTTGCTAATATCTTATTTAAGATATTTGCATCAGTGTTCATTAAGGAAATTGGCGTATAGTTTTCTTTTTTAGTTGGGGCTTTATTTGGTTTTGGGATCAGGATGATACTGGCTTCCATAAATAAATTTGGGAACACTCTATCCCTTTCAATTTCTTTGAAGAGCTTGAGGAATATTGATGCTATAACACCTTTAAAAGTTTAGTAGAATTCAGACATGACTCCATCAGGTTCTAGGCTTTTTTTAGTTAGTAGATTCTTTATTACTGTGTCAGTTTCATTGCTTGTTATTGGGTAGTTAAGCATATTTATGTTTTCTTGGATTAGTTTTGGTTTTATATGTGTCTAGGAATCTGTCCATTTCTTCAGATTTTGCTAATTTGTTGTACTATAATTTTTCAAAGTAGTTACTATAGTCTGGATTTCAACAGTATCTGTTATGATTTTGACCTTTTTCATTTCTAATTGCATTAATTTGAGTCTTTTGCTGAGTCTGGCTAACGGCTTATCTATTTTATTTATTCTTTTGAAGAACCAGTTCTTTGATTTATTGATTTTTTGTACTCTTTTTTAATCTCAATTTCATCGATTTCCACTTTTATCTTTGTAATTTCCCTCCTTAATTTCATTTTGGGGCTGCTTTGCCATTGTTTCTCAAGTATCTTAAGATTTCTCATGAGGTTATTTATTTGGGCTTGCTCTATTTTCCTAATGTGAGCAATGGTGGTGATGAATTTTCCTCTTAGAACTGCTTTCATAATGTCCCAGATGTTTTGTTGAATTGTACAGTCACTGTCATCAACTTCCAGAAATTTTAAAATTTCTTCTTTGATCTCTTCTGTGACCTACTGGTTGTTTAGGAGTTTAGGAGTATGTTGTTAATTTTCCAGGAGCATTTACCTTTTCTGAACTTCGTTGGTCATTGATTTCTATTTTCATTACACAGTGGTCTAATAGTACACAGTATTGATTTCTGGTCCTCCCCTCTCCCTACCATCACAAT